AATGGCGGCGTGACTGTGCTACTCATCAAGACACAAATGCTACATTAGAATCACGGTGCCAGTCAATTTTAACCATCCTTATTGATTACATAATAAACATTTTGAGCCAAATGACAGTGAGGAGGTAATGTCTTCCTGATCATTTTCCCTCAAAAGACTTTTACACTATACTTCGCTATTCAAGTGTGCTAGGTGGCACTCAGAAAAGTCTCTCTTTAGACATGACATGAAACAAAAAATTCCTAAACTGATTCAAGCTTTGTTAAGCTTTAAGAAGTATCCCCTCTGGCAGATGTAATGTTGTCCTCATCCTTGGAGTCAGTATCCTTAAAGTCCTCCAGAACAACTCTCAAGATACCTCTGCAGCAAATATTTCCCCATCCTCACCTGGATTTAAAAAGTTGTCTATGACTATGAACATGGCTTTATTTGGAGGGCCATTTTATAAGTTTATGTCAGCATCAGATGTGAAGTATTTGATGGAAAATAAACTTGCATGTGTAAGCATTTCTTACCTCTTCTCACCTGAAATCCTGTGGACAAACTATAATTCCCCCTACAATTGTCAACTTCTTCCCTTCACCTCAACAAATTGCATATATATACTGTTTTTCTACTCAGAAATGAACAGAGAATCTCAAACGTTGAAACCTTCTCTCAAGTGTAAAATTTTCTTCTCTTCAGATGATATTCAGGAACATGATCACTTGTAGGCATAGATAAATAAAACATAATAGATTGACAACTACGCATTACTTTTCGAGGGCCACATTGTCAACACAAACCCGGAAGACTGACTAGCCTTGCTTTCTCACAACTCAACTTGGGCTTCCCAAGTAGTCCACCATATTTGCATTCAGTGAATACTTTTTCACAAACTCATCTGACTATGATTAATAAAACCCATCCAATAATGATAGAATCTACATTCCTTGGCTAAGATATGTTTTATCAATAGAGCAATTTTCAATGTGTGATTAAGTCTAAAACAAATAAATCCATCAATCTTATGGTATTTAAACTTGGCTCCTTGAACTTTGTGATTAGCATTCTGTACCTGTTTAACAGCAATGTAACTGCACGTTCTTTTAAAGGAATTTTCTTCTCAGTGATATGTGCTAAGTTTCATTGTTTTCTGCTGTTCAGGAAATGAGCCTGATCACCTTTCTGAAGGGATCAAAGACCAGTGGAGGGATATCCACAGAAATCAAGCCTATGGTATAACAATCTGACCAAACCAAGCCATTTAATAACTATTGCTACATTTTCTGAGTACATACCATCTTGTATAGCCTCTACCCACTCTTTCTTCTCTTGTTCACTTTTTGCATTTACATAGAGGACTAAGTCATCATAAACAACCTACAGACAGAAACAAGTGAAGTAATGTGAAGGTCAACTAATTACTCTAACTGTGGGTCACCTTTACAGTAAAACAATGTTAAGCCTTGAAGATTCCCTGGCCATACATTCACATTGTTTTACAAACTGGAGGAATTTAATTACCTTCTGAAAGTACTTGTACAATGAACACAGAATTGGAATCACCTTAAAGATATATCAAAGTGCTTGTCTTCAGCAGATTCCATTTCTAATGCATTATATAGTTATATGCAAGAATATCTGAACTGTTATGCTGCATCATTCATTGCAGCTACTTCTAGTTAGTTGCTAATTTAATTATTGTAAACTTTATCATGGGCTATTTCTATTAGTAATTTTATTTCACATAAAAAACTAAAACAATACACACATACAGGGAGGGGCAGTTAGGTGGGCATTGATTTATTCATTTTTGAGAGGGCAACCAAAACCTTATTTTAGGTTACCAGAAATACATTTAACTTAGGGTTGGATTTTGAGTTGCTTCAAAAAAGTTGAGTTTGGAAACCCAAGATATACCAAGGAATTGATGACATGAGTAAGATTATAAATTACCATACGGCTTGCAAATACAAAAAGAAAATGGTGTACACACTTGAAAGCAGAAGCAAAACTTCTTGTTTTGGTCAAATGCTGTGTCATCAACAAACTCTACAGCTTTTACTGAACTTAAAGGAATGGATCCCTTGCATCTTCCACGTTTCTGAAAGAAGACAACATGAACTAAATAGAGAAAGTTAAACAATGGAAGTTCAGTAAGTAACTGTAGGCATCATATTAATACACAATGCATGTGCATGTCATACATGGACACTCAATTAACATCAATCCAAAGTAAAACAAGGGTGTTGGTGTCACATATTAAAGTTTAAAGAAAGACACCAGTGTACCATAAGTTGCCAAGGGAAATATTAGCTTTTTGATATAAAGACCCCTATCACACTATCAAAAAAGGCAGTTAACTTTGATCTTCTATTTCTGAAATTATGGCTGTGACTTTCATTTGGAAAATGTTCAAAGCTCCAAAAGAATTATTGGTAGTAAAATAAACTACAATAAGATGTGTACGATAAATCACATAAAAATTATGGGAAGTCCCACCATCTGCCAAAGAAAAGAAATTTGATCTTAACAGTATTCTTTTTATGCCTTTTGGAACAACCATGTATAACTGCATTCAAGGAAAAGACAGAAATTATGCATTAAGGGGGGCAAAGAAATAAACACATTAAAATGAATAATTTCCAAGAGTCCTGGAGCAAGTCATGTTTTCTCACTAACTGTTTTACACTTAATCCATTCAAATTGTAGCAATCAAACCTAATTATGACTGAGTTGGTACATCGATTACATCAAAACTTACAAAAATTGACACTCCTGAGCACAAAGAAAAATTCTCAATTGACATTTATAAAAAAGGCACTGTTTAAAATCCAAATCTTACCTTACTATCAAAGTTGTTCAGTACTCATTAAATTTCTCTTGTAAGGTGTAAAACCATAACATTTAAAAGAATCTATCTTTTAAACATTACTTTTCATAGTTATGGCGCATTGTTACAAATGCCTAACAGTTTGGCCAACAGAAAACTGATTATTTTTACATGTTCATGTCAAAACAGAATACATGTTTATCGTAAGTGCAAGAATTCAAAGACTATGTCCCTCTCTCTAAGAAATACCCTTGACTTATGAGGTAGCGTGTGTAATACGTTCCATATTTACTTTTCTCTCAAAAAAATTATAAACATAATTATCCGCATGAATATTAAAGATTTGATGAAGGAGA